GAATAAACATCTAGGGGATTTACATTTTCGTTTACTCAAACTGTGATTGACAGAAATTTTGCATACATTAGCCACCATTTTAAACTCGTGATTTTCACTGGTCGCGGCATGTTTCGACCGAAAATAACAACATGTATACATCAAAAGTCCAACCAGACGAGTGTAATCACTAGCGTACATATTCATGCCCCCGTGGATATGTATTTGGAACCACAGCTTGATCTCCAAACATCGTAAATGGCACATTTCACGGAGCTCCCGCCACGATGTGAGCAGCTTGGTTCGGATTAGCATACTAATACGGTGGCCATCTTGACCCTTATTTATAGTATCGGTTCCCCTTTAATTGTGAACGATTTATAAATGGTGAATGTTTCAAAGAGCGCTGTGTGAACACTTTTCAATGGGAACACTAATAAATAAGCCATTATGATCCTGGTAAACAGAAGTTTTAGATAAGTGTTTTTAAATCAAAATCAGGGTATGCATTCAAAAGTTAAATAGTTTTAAGTGCACTTTCACCTAAAATGCATGATTTTAACCCAAAATCCACACCACTTAATATGGTATCATAGTACATTATTGTAAACCATAGAACCTGAAAGTTTAAATAAAACTCTTTCAAATGATATATAACTTGATTGGTAAAAGTTATATTTTACTCATGTAATTACAGTAAATAGAGCCAATTAAAAATATAGTCTCCCAACCTGCATCTCTACCTTAATTAATTTACTTACCGGTAGTAAGCAATTAATTAATTAACACAAAAAAGTAATTTCAGTGCACATCAAGTTGTCTGGTTAGCACAAACATTGACCTAAACCATAAATTATTTATTACATTCTTTTTGACTTCCATGTGCGAAGCACTAAATGGGAGTCTTTGCAGTTAGTGTGTGTGTGTGTGTATGTGTGTCCGACTGTTCCACTGCTATCTCAAGAACCATACATCGGTTTTTGATGAAACTTGGTGCATAGATGCTCTGGGCCAATGCGCAGATTTGATTAGGTTTTGGTAAAAATCCATGCTCGTTAATTACCTAATTTGCATGATAATTAGCTAATTTTTAGCTGTTCTATGACTGTTCCACTGATATCTAAAGAACCACTCATTGGATTTTGATGAAACTTGGTACATAGATGCTCTGAACTAATGCTAGGTTTTGATTAGGTTTTGGTTAAAATCCATGCTCGTTAATTACCTAATTTGCATGATAATTAGCTAATTTTTAGCTGTTCTATGACTGTTCCACTGATATCTAAAGAACCACTCATTGGATTTTGATGAAACTTGGTACATAGATGCTCTGAACTAATGCTAGGTTTTGATTAGGTTTTGGTTAAAATCCATGCTCGTTAATTACCTAATTTGCATGATAATTAGCTAATTTTTAGCTGTTCTATGACTGTTCCACTGATATCTAAAGAACCACTCATTGGATTTTGATGAAACTTGGTACATAGATGCTCTGAACTAATGCTAGGTTTTGATTAGGTTTTTGGTAAAAATCCATGCTCATTAATTACCTAATTTGCATGATAATTAGCTATTTTTTAGCTGTTCTATGACTGTTCCACTGATATCTAAAGAACCACTCATTGGATTTTGATGAAACTTGGTACATAGATGCTCTGAACTAATGCTAGGTTTTGATTAGGTTTGGGTTAAAATCCATGTTCATTAATTACCTAATTTGCATGATAATTAGCTAATTTTTAGCTGTTCTATGACTGTTCCACTGATATCTAAAGAACCACTCATTGGATTTTGATGAAACTTGGTACATAGATGCTCTGAACATATGCACAGATTTGATTAGTTTTTGGTAAAAATCCGTGCATATTAATTACCTAATTTGCATGATAATTAGCTATTTTTTAGTGGTTCCATGACTGTTCCACTGATATCTAAACAACCACTCATTGG